ATTTAATGGAGTAACTGTAAGTGACAAATTACATTAATTTCTCTCTTGCTGCATTCAACACATTTTTAAGATTTAGTACATACTTAAAAATTTACCTGCATGAAATTTCAGTTAGGAAAAGCCATACACTTTTAGCAGCTGTATCAGAACAGGGCTAATTTAATTCCCTTGCCCTCAAAATTTGTTATTTAATGAAAGCTAATGCTTTCTTTGTACCAAGCAAATATATTAGCTGATAAGTAATTACATCGCCATGAAGTAAACTAGTAATTGTTTCTTCAGTTCATTTGGATTTAGTCATTTACAACTGATGGAATGAAGTACTGATAGTCACGTTCTAATTGGTATACTAGTTGTCCTTACTTCTAAGAGTTTTCCTTAGTAGTCTTATCTATTATTTTTGACCTTGTTCAATCTGCTGGCCTCCATTGAATCTATTAATATGCAAAATACTGTTAAACCAGTCTTTGCTTTAACAATCATTACCATCTATAAATTGAACAGTAGAATGCTTCGATTCCAAAGAAAAAACTGACACTTGAAATCCATTTATAATTGCAATAAAATGGTCTTCTCAGTGCTTTAGCCATTTAATAAGGCCTGAATATTAGGTAGTTTTGGGTAAAGTCTACCAAGTCAAGCGGATTCTGTATTTCAGATAGTCATGGGAAGTGACAGCATCCTTATTCCCTAAGCAATGACAGACAGACAGACAGACCTGATAGTTATGTCTTGAGAGTACATAATGCTGTTTTCCCATTATGTCCACACAGTCTTCTCCTGTTAACTGGCAAAGCATTAAATACATTATGCTCTGGTTAACTTGTCTCTCCAAGAGGAATGCAAACAACAGTAAATTATTCAGTAGCAAACCAGTTATACGGAATAAAAATCTGGGAGCAGAATAATGGTGCTAGCTGGGTATTAGAACAGCAGCAAATTGGTATTGCAGCAAATTAACTCGAGTTTACTATATGTACACAGAAGTTTCAGAAAGCAACAGCAATTCTGAAATAAAATCATGTTTATGTGCAATGATTATTTACTGGATCATGTAAACTTCTCTGCATAGTTGTAAACAATGGCTGTGTTAGACAATGCCAGCACCAGAGGTGCCCTGCTGCTTTGCAGTTTCCCATTCACTGCATACAAAATGTTTTAATTCCCTGCTATGTTGAGACATACTTGTACAAATCCTGCTTTTGTGTACATTAGTATAAGATTTAGTGTTTCATGCTTACCTGATGGGAGTGCAACAGTAATAGAAAATACAATGTTAACCACCTCACATGTCAACAATTACATAAAACAAGCACAGTAGGTTGTAAACTGGTTGTCCAGCCCTATAGCTGGTTTTTAATCCGTGGGGCAGCTCTAGTTTTGCACAGACTAATTCATCCTCACAACTGAGATAACAGCATATTTTTTTAAAATAATAAACACCTTACTTTTGGGGTAGGTAACATATGAGTATACCATTTAACCTTAACAGCACCTCTTTAGCACTTACAGTCAGGTGAGAAAAATGGTTATCTTCATCTCCAAACTTTGAAAATTGTTTAAAAACACCTTTTCAATTAACTTTTGTAGTCTTGTCTGGAAAATGACTAAAAAGTAGCACTCAGCACAAAAATTAGTTTAAATCCTCCACCATTCTAATAAAATAAGAAAGTGAACAATTTACAGTAACAGTACTCACTAATTGTAAAGAGAAGTTCAAACAGAACTAAAGCACTTTAAAATATAACACTAAGAAAAATTCCTTAAGTCACATGTCAAAAACTGACATGAAGAAGTACAAACAAACAATATGTGAAAATAAAGAAAACAGATCACAGTGTTGTGTTTTGAAGACTACCTTCATCTCTAAAAGCACCTGTCCAAACAGTAATTTAGGCACCAGAAATTTCATTTAAAAATTACGTTACAATCAGGCATAAAGTTTATTGAAAAGGCACAGATGAAAATCTCTTAGTTCTAACAATAAGATTACAACCTTAAAAGATGTCCCAAATGTAGGAAGTTTGTGTACAAAAAACTGAGAATACTTAATATCCACTTCACTCTCTAAAATCAGTATGAAAGGATATGTACCCTACATAACAATCCAGATCAAAAGTTGTATACCTACTTAGTGCTAAGACAAATATTTAGGAATGAGCTGAAAAGCTTATCACAGACAGATCTAGTCAATTAAAAAAAAGACACTATAGCCTATAAGTTTGAAAAACCTTTTATCTCAAATTGTTACATAGAGATATACCTAGTATCTTTCACACAGGCAGTACCAGACATTGTCCTGCATTAAGATCAGTGCTGCATACTATATTCCTTTACATTTTACTAAAATGTTTGGCAGTTTGTTATCTACAACTGTTGTTTTAAATTCATGAAACTCTATTATGAAAAATGTCACTTTCACAAAAACACAAACTGGTTGAAAGTTTAAATTCATTATCTACAACTACCCAATAGGCATTATTAGAATTCATGAAGAGTAGTTTAGTAGGTCTGAAACCAAGAGAAAAAAAAATAAACACTTACTTCTCTATAGCACTGTGTTTGCAAGAGGTGCAAAATGTTGGGCTTCCTCCCCCCACCAAGAAAAAAAAAATCTCAAGTTATTTTTAGATAACCACAGTGCAAAGAGAAATTACCAAAACTCTTTATTTCTATCAACAAGAATGGAATGACCTATTTGGTATTGGTATTCTAAAATGATTTTCCAAAGTAAAAGGCCAGATTTTACAAAAAGTTGAGTATTTAACAGCTATTCACTGAAGTCAAATACAGTTTCTGAATATTTAAATCTTTGGGAGGGAAAAAACAACAGGCCATTGTTTTGGAAGGAAACTATTGTTTTACAGGTCATTGCAAGGTTTTGAAAATCTTGACAATAATGTAGTACTATACTAGATCAAGAGTTCTCAACCTATTTGCCATGGTGGCCTACACTTGTAGCTTCCCATGTGTTACGTGGGCCACAGCCACACAATTTACTGCCTGTGTATCCATTAAAAAAAATGTTTTTAACAGGATGTCACATGGGCAGCAGCAATGTGCTGACTGGGCTGCAGGTTGAGAACCTGTGATGTAAATAGATCTGTGTCCATTCCTTAAGGCAGGAGTGCCAACCTCACCTTGTGCCCTGGAATGGATCTAGCCCACTGTGCTCTTTGCAGGCTAGATTTAGCCTTGGGCATATGATAGCAGCTCGTTCCTACCCAATGCCACACGACAGTGGCATCTCTAGCTCTAACATGGGGCACAGGATGCAGCTCTAGCTCTGGCCACATGCACCACGCCAGAGCTGCCACCACTGACACCATTCTAGGTTGGAGCCATGTGCTCTGTGCTGTGGTGGCAGCTCTAGCTCCAGCACAGGGTATATAGCAGGTCCAGCATGGGGCTAGTGGATGAACAAGTGGAGCCATGGCACTGGTGACAAGCAAAGCAGCTGAAGGGTGACTAGGGCTGTATCATCCCTCCTGCTTCTGATCACCACATCCACTGGAGCCTAAGAGCCCTGGATTCTGTGACAGACTATGCCTCCCCCACTTTCAGTGGCCTGCTGGTAGCCAGGCAGGATAGAGCAGTTCCACACAGATCTGGCCTGTGGGATATACCTTGATACAAGGGACAGGAACAGCTGACCTGAAGTTTTGAAAGATTAAGTTCTGTAACACATTTATAGTGCCTTTTTTAATGCCAGCAAATGAGGTTTAAGTTTCTTGGCATGACTATAAGTTCTTGTTCCTTTACTAAACATAGGATCTCAAAAAACATGCTAGGTCTCCTGTTATAAATTTTACTTGTTGGAACTAATGAAGTCAAGTTTATCAGTTTATTGCTTCAGTTCACTGCAACTGTTTGCCCCTGAATTGTTTCAGCACTTCTGAAAATGCTCCAAATCAAGTTAAAAGATTTTCAGACTTTTTGTAAAATATTTATTTCATATTTCAGTCATTGTAGATTTCACAGAAGAGTGGTCCAAAGGAGTTAAAACATTTCAGTCACTCCAAACAGAGTAAAGTCTCTAGAACGATAACAAACCTCTGCTGTACAGCTGGAATGTCTTATCAATTGTAAAAAAAAAAAAAAAAAAAAA